TGCCAGGAAGTGAGGAGGAGACCCCAAGGGCAGGCTGTGGAGCAGAGTGTTAGCACTCAGCGACATTGGCCTGAGGGCAGCAGCCTGTGAGCAGGGCAGTCTGGATCCTAGCCCTAACTTCCCTCTGTGGCCCCCAGCTTCCTCCTCAAATGACCAGATGGTCAGTGTCTTAGTCATCTAGTGCTGCTCTAACAGAAGTACCACGAGTGGGTTGTTTTAACAAAGAGAAGTTTATTCTGTCACAGTCCAGCAGGCTACAAGTCCAAATTCAGGGTATCAGCTCCAGGGGAATGCTTTCTCTGTCGGCTCTGGAGGAAGGTCCCCATCATCAAGCTTCTCTTGGTCTGGGAGCTTCTCTGTGTAGGAACCTCAGGTCCAAAGGACACACTCTGCTCCCGGCACTGCCTTCTTGGTGGTATGAGCTTCCTCTGTGTCTCTGCTCACTTCTCTCTTTTATGTCTCAAAAGAGATTGCATTAAGACACTATCTAATCTTGTAAACCTCATCAGTATAACCTCATCACAGTGATAAAATTTACAACACATATGGAGATCACATATAACCTCATCATAGTGATAGAGTTTACAACACATAAGGAAATCACATCAGATTACACAATCATACAATACTGGAATCATGACCCAGACAAGTTGACAGATATTTTGGGGGGACACAATTCAATCCATGACAGTCAGTCTAGAAGATCTGAGAGGCCCTTGACTGTCAGTACAGCTGATCTGTCTGAGTGTTGAGGACATTCCCATGCATGCAGTTGTCTTGAAGCTTCCCAGGCCCTGAGGTCCTGGCCACAACCCACAAGGTTCCTATCCACTCACCAGACCCTTCTTATACCACAGACCCCCAACATACTTACATACTCCAGCCACACCAGCCATCTCTCTGTCGCTCCACAGGCCAAGCTCCTTGCCACCCCAGGACCTCTTGTATGTGCTGCTCCTTTCAGAATGTTCTATACCTTTCCATACTTTTTCCAAACTTAGCTTAAGTATCACTTCTTCAGGTTCCCCTCAGACTAGCAACCGGAATGCATTCTTCTTAATTATTGCCAGGCTTATAGTTAATTACTTACTTGTACAGCTATGTAATGCCCATTTCTCCCATCCTGTCATGTTCACCAGCCTTGCTATCCTATGCCCTGAACACAGTGGGAAGTCAGTACACATGTATGTGGAATGCATGAAAGAAAGGTGTGGGAAAACTCCTTGGCCTGACATTTGGAGCCCCAGACAGTGGGACCTCTGTTCCCTCAGCAGCCTTCTCTGCCTCTACCACCTTATAGGACCTTTCTCTTCAGTCAGACCAGGCCGGACTATGAACTGGACCCCCACTCACCAGGCTCTGAATGGCCTCTCTGGCCTCATCTTACTCATCAGCCAGACCACATCTTACTCTTCCTGGATGACCCAAGCCTGTGTGTTCTGTGCCTGCAAGGCCTCCATTAGAGCAGATTCAAACTCAGGGAAATGAACCCAGAGCAGGAGCAGGTAGGGCATCAGGGAGAGGACAGAGGGGAGCTGAAGGAGGTCCCAAGGCTGAGGCAATGTTGAAATTTTTTTATCTTTATAGCATACTGTAACTATGTTCAATGCAGATGAAAAACCCTAGAAAACATAATGAGCAAGAAGGGAAAAATATAATAAAAATCATCCATATTCCACTGCACAAGGTAATCATTGTTAGCATTTTGTCATATATCCTTCCATCCCTTTTTCATGTATATATTCATGTTAATGTATATGTTTTTAAAAATACAATGGTACTATTTTCTACTCTGCTTTTTTCAGTAATAAACATGTAATAAACAAGTTTAAGAGTTGATAAATATAAAGTTACATCATTTTTAGTGGCTGTCCAACATTCCACTGTAAGATAAACCATGATTTAGTTAACCAGTCCCCTATTGTTGGACATTTAGATAATTTTTAGTTTTTCTTTAGTGTAAACAACACTGCCACAAACATCCGAAAATGGGCACATTTGTGGCCTTTTCTGATTATTTCCTTCTGATGGATCCCTAGAAGTGGATTGCTAAGTCAGTGATTAAGTGTGTTTTTTAAGGCTTTTGATGCATCATGCCCACGTGATCTACAAGATGATGTTTCCTTCAAAGAAGGGTCTGGGTGAGGGGGTGTGATCGTTAAGGTTGTGTGTCAACTTGGCTGGGCCATGATACTCAGTGATTTGGCAGTTGTGATGTAGTTTGGCAGTCGTATGATAATGTAATCACTTCCATGATGAGATCTGATATAATGTGATCACCTCCATGATGAGATCTGCTGTGAGTAGTGAATCAGTTGAAAGGGAGTTTCCTTGGGGGTGTGGCCTGCATCCACTACAGGCAGATTTTCTGGTGGCAGTCAGTGGCTGTTTGGCATAACTAGGCCCTTGGGGCAGGCATGAAGCTGCCGGCTCCAGAGGATTCTGCTCAGCCCTTCTCTTGAGCAACTTTGACTTTCTTTGCAGTAACTGAGCCCTTGTCCATCTCAGGGGGCTCCTTTATGTGAGCCAATTGTAGGTGTCATGGATTGAATTATGTCCCCCCAAAAATGTGTGTATCAATTTGGCCGGGCCATGATTCCTGGTGTTGTGTGGTTTTCCTATATGTTGTAAATCCTGCCTCTATGATGTTAATGAGGGAGGATGGGCGGCAGTTGTGTTAGTAAGGCAGGACTCAGTCTACAAGACTGGACTGTATCCTGAGGCAATGTCTTGAGATATAAAAGACAGAAGTGAGCAGTGAGACAGGGGGGCCTCATACCATCAAGAAAGCAGTGCCGGGAGTAGAGCGAGTCCTTTGGACCTGGGTCCCTGCACAGAGAAGCTCCTAGTCCAGGAGAACACCAAAGAGAAGAAGGCCGACAGAGAGAAAAAGCCTTCCCCTGGAGTTGATGCCCTGAATTTGGACTGTTAGCCTATTTTAACTGTGAGGAAATAAACTTCTCTTGGTTAAAACCATCCACTTGTGGTATTTCTATTACAGCAGCACTAGATAACTAAGACAGTAGGGGAGCAAAAGTGTAGGGAATTCCCTCCATTCTTAGGAAACAATTTTCAAAAAAGGAATTTTCCAGGAAGCCTCATTGCTCCTGGGAAACCAGTGGCATCTATGAATGTTTTGTGTCTTCCTGTGTCTGGTTATGATATGGGGAAGGGTCCAGGCAAGGACCCTCTGACCTCAGCAAGTATGAACTACTACAGTGTGTGGGTGCCACCTCAGCCCCACTCCCCAGGCCTGTCCCCTGCCCTTGAATCCGCTTATCAGCTTGCCAGGGAGCAGCCAAAAACATCCGTTCACCCCACCACCACCCGCCACCCCAGGAAACTGTAAGCATGAAACTTGGTCCTGGCACCTTCCACCCCTTCCCATGAAATCAAGGCACAGAGCAAGTTGGCCTTTATAGAAACCCACCTGGCTTCAAGTCCACACTCCGTCACTTACTGTTACTGCAGTAACGCAGATTGGAGCCACCTGCCGCAATAGCCAATTCTGAGACAGGGGTGAGGTGAGCAGCAAGACATTTATTATATGTCCATATATAGGAGACAGAGGGGAATAGATTCCTCCAAAAAACCCGTCTCCCCCACTGGAGATGGGCTGAAGGCTTTTATAGGAACGGGATTATGGATCTTAGAAGTTTGTGTTAGTTTCCCCTTGAGGTGGTGATGTCTTAGATGAGTTAACCTTCTATTGGTATTCTTAGAGGTTATCTGGTGACATTCTTGGGGATTATCTGGCGACATCCTGCTTTTTCTTGTCACAAGATGGGTGCTTTGTTTGGTTTTTCATTCTTAGATCATTATCACTTGCTTTCCACCCTCCAGGGAGGAACATCGGTTAATGTTAAACCTTTTGCAGAGACTGGAACCCAAGGGATAAACAAAATCAGGAGACAATGTGGCGGTTAGCAATGGGGAGTAAATAATAGTGAGCCGGGCCTATGCAGCCTCTTCCATTACTAGCTTTGGGATCTTGGGCAAGTTACTTCACCTCACTGAGCCTCAGATCACCCATCCTTAAAACAGGGATAGTATTATACCTACCAGACAGAGTGGCTGTCAGAGTATTAAATGAAATAATATATGTAAACACTTGGCATAGTGTCTGGAGTACGGTAAGCACTTTATTATTATGATTATCTGCCAGCCGTTTATGGCTGGAACCACTGGGTTCTCGCTGAGAAGTCACAGGTGTGGCCACTTCCTGTAAGAGGAAAAGCCCCACTCCTCTGCAAGCCTCCTGCTCCTACAGAGCTCTTTCCTAGAAAGACTCTGGTTACAGGAAATTACTTTGTTCATTTTCCCTGCCTTTTTCTTTTTTTTAATTTTTTTTTAATTGTACTTTAGGTGAAGGTTTACGGAACAAATAGTTTCTCACTAAACAGTCAGTACACATATTGTTTTATGACATTGGTTAACAACCCCACGACATGTCAACATTGTCGCTTCTCGACCTTGGAGGACCTTTTTTTTTTTGGTGAAAATATACACAGCCAAAGTTACACCATTTCAAAAGTTTCTACTGTACAATTCAGTGGCATCGATTACGTTCTTCCAGTTGTGCTGCTATTCTCACTATCCTTTTCCAAATTCCATGACCGTTGTCTTCAACTCACTATCCCCTAGGCTTCCCATCAAAACTTTTTCAGTTGCTGTTGTCAACTTGATCTCACATAGATAATTTCCCTGCCTTTTTCTTGATTTCACAGGCTTTAGAAAAAAATATGCATCTGGGGCTTGAGGGGAGCTCGGTGTTCAGGGTTGTGGGTATAGGTAAGTGTGAGTGAGTTTCGGAATACCCTCAGTTTTGGAGTAGCAAAGGGGAATGGAACGGGGGATGGGGGCGGACAGCGGCTTGGAGGGAGCCTTCTCAAGCCGTACGCTCCACCCCCAGACTCAGGCACAGCTCAATGGGTCCTTGTGGGGAGGGCTGTTCCTCCCTCTCTGGGAGCAGGAAGTGTCTCCCTCCCCATCACACCCAAAGCCGCGGTCTGGTGAGTCACCAGGGCTGCAGTGTTGTGAGGAAAACTAGTTTATTTTAATGTTTCATTTTCAGGCTGTGCCTAGAGAAGCCGTCCTTGGTCGCGGGGAGCTGTTGAGCCTGGCCTCCCCTCCCTGTCATTTTCCAGAAGTAACCTGTGGTCGGGATGGTGGAGGTAAGACCAGGAACAGCTCAGTTGGAGCTCGAAGGCCGAGGAGGGGAGGGGGACCAGGTACCCAGAAGTGAGTGGGCACCTTCTGACTGCCCTGCCCCCACTCCTTGAACTCTGCTTTTCCATTTTGCTGACTAAGGTCCCTGCTGAGGGGGATTCTGGAGGAGGGGAGCCCAAGCCCCAAGGGTCCCTGGGTGGGTAGGTCCTGCATAGGACACTTTCAGGTCTGGGTCTGGGTCAGTCTGTTTCTTCACAACAGCTGTGGTCTCACTGGGAGTTCAGTGGGGCATGTATGCACTTCTCCACCTGCTCTGCTTTCTCTAAACCTCTCCTGGACAGGAGCTCTGGGATGGTGTATGTCCAGCCTGTCCACTATAGGTGTCTCCAAGACCAGCCTCTGGGTATAGGTAGACACTAGGGAAAGGGAGAGCTGTGGGGGATGGTGCCCAGCCAGGAGGTTGGTCCTGGGAAAGCAGGAAAGTGAGTGGGTTTCTTGGTGCCCACAGATGCCTCATTCAAGCCTGCATCCGTCCATTCCACGGCACAGGGGTCATGGGATCCAGAAGGCAGCCTTTGTCCTGCTGGTTGCCTGCCTAGTGGCCCTTTGGGAGCTAGGGGAGCCACCAGGCCACACTCTCCAGTGGCTGGTATGCCAACTAGCCTCCCTGCAGCTGGGGCTATTGCTAAAGGTGATCTGCAGTCTGGCTGAGGAGCTATGTCATGTCCATTCCAGGTGACTCTTCAGTACTTGTGGTGGTGATTGGGTACACAACACGTGTTACTCCCTTGACCCCTCGCCCTGCCCCTCCTTGAACTTCTCTGACTGAGCTGGGCTGGGGTCTGGGGCTTGGCTGTCACCTGCAGGTACCAGAGCAGCTACTGGAGGGCTGTGCGAGCCTGCATGGGCTGCCCCATCCGCCGTGGAGCCCTGCTGCTGCTGTCCTGCTATTTCTACTTCTGCTTCCCAAATATGGCTGACCTGCCCCTCACTTGGACACTTGCCCTCTTGGGCCTCTTGCAGGCAATGAACATCCTCCTGAGCCTCCAGGTATGACACAGTGGAAGGGGGATGGTCTGGCAAAGTGGGGGCTCTGGCTAGTGTGACCTGCATGAAGCTCAGTACTGGGAGTGGGGACAGGCAAGCTCTGGGACTAGTTAAAGGGTTGGAGTCCTTGGAGTGGAGCCTATAATGTCCTGGAACAGTAGGTTCAGCGATGGCAGAGAAGGGAGCGAGTCAGCAGTAGGTTGGAAAGCCTTCTTGGAAGCTTCATGGAGGCCCCCAGCCCCACCCTACTGTCCACAGGGCCTGACCCCAGCTGAGATCTCTGCGATCTGTGAAAAAAGGAACCTCAACGTGGCCCATGGGCTGGCATGGTCATATTACATTGGATACCTTCGGCTGATCCTGCCAGGTGGGCCATCCCCTTTCCCCCCATTTCTAGACCTACCAGACAGACGATAATATACACAGCCTTTTGTGCTTCCAGAACTCACTGTATTTTTCCAAAGTATTTTAATGTCAACCAAATCATTTGATTCCCAAAGCATCCCTGTGGGCATGAAGGATGTTAATATTGTGCCTGGTTTACAGTAAGGAATAGAGGCTCAGAGCCATTAAGTGACTTGCCCAAGGTCACCCATAAATTCTTTTAATAATTGTCTACTGTGTGCTTTGTATCCTCCATGTGCATTTTCTTTTTAAATTCACACTCTGTGAGGAAGGGATAATCACCACCCTATTTTACAGATTAGAAAATTACGGTTTCAAGAAGTAAAGTAACTTGTCCAAAGTCACATAGCTGTGTGTGTCTCACTCACACACAGTGTGAGAAGACAGGATTTCAACCAGGTCTGTCCAGAGCCTGGACCCTTAATCACTCCACTATGGAATCCACATGTCTCATTCCTCTGACTTGCAGGCCCTCACTGCTGTCTTACCTTGACCACTGGGGCTTCAACTAGGAAGCTGGTCTGGAGTTAGAGCCCTGGCCCTGTGTACCCGGGATTCAGAGGCATGGGAGGGGGACATTTACCCCCGGGTGCAAGTCCAAGGGGAGGCCAGACAAGAGAAAGAATGACATTCCGAGGCACCACAAATATGAAAGGCGTCTGACTGAGGTAGCCAAACAAAAGGGAGAAAGGCGTTTCTGCTGACATGTTGCCGCTGTCAATGTCTATACATCTTGAAATTGGTGGGGTGGGTGGGGGGGTACAATTTAGAGATTGCTCTTGTGTGCTCATTACCCTTACTATGCCCCTACTGAGAATTCTACCTCCCCAGGCCCTGTCTGCCCCTCAGAGCCCTGAAGGCTGTGGTGGGAAGGAGTGGGGCTGACACAGAAATCTGGGGAAAGGAGATGTGAGGGAGGAAGAGCTCCTTTGGTAGGGAGAAGGGTGGTGGTGATGCATGGGGGATGGTGAGGATTCCTGGATGCTCTGCCCCTCCTGGCCTCTTGTTGTTGTTGAGAATATACGCAGAAGAACATTCACCAATTCAGCAATTTCTACATGTACCATTCAGTAACACTGATTACATTTTTCAAGTTGTACAACCACTCTCACCTTCCTTTTCCAAATTGTTCCTCCTCTATTAACATAAACTCGCTGCCCGCTAAGTTTCCTATCTAATCTTTCCAGTTGCTGTTGTCAGTTTGATCCCATATAAGTAGTTCTTAAAAGAGCACAATGCTTATGGCAGACATTCTTTACTAGTTAAGCTAAACTATTGTTTGGTTTAAAGAAGACTTCAGGGAATATTTTTGGTTTAAGGTTTAAGGTTCCCTCCTGGCCTCTTATACAATGACAGTGGACTGGATCCTTGGTTCTTTTGCACCCACACATTGAGGGGACCAATGACCTGAGAGTCCTGGGTTAGGTGGGAGACAGGACTAGTAGGAATTATTGCTCTTCTGCTCTTGGGCCTCCCCATTCCAGGGCTCCAGGACCGAATCAGAATTTATAATCTGCAACACAACAACATGCTACGGGGTACAGGGAGCCAGCGGCTACACATCCTCTTCCCATTGGACTGCGGGGTGCCTAATGACCTAAGTGTGGCTGACGCCAACATTCGCTTCCTGCAGAAGCTGCCCCAGCAGAGCGCTGACTGTGCTGGCATCAAGGGCCGGGTCTACACCAACAGCGTCTACCAGCTCCTGGAGCATGGACAGCCGGTGAACATGCAGGGAGGTGGGGCCGCAGGGCCCAGGGCCAAGCACTGACGAAAATCACTGCCCTTCTGGGAGCCTTAGTTTCCCCAGTTGGTCCCAGGCCTGGGCAAGATTCAGCTAGGAATGACGATAATGTTGACAAATAACATTTATTGAGCGCTTACTGCATGCCAGACACTATTCTTCCTATGACCACCTCATTGAAACTTCACCACCACTTTACAGATGAGGAAACTGAGATTTAGAGAGGCTGCCAGAAAGTGAGCAATTTCAGCCTGTGTATACCATGCTCTTAACCATAAAGCTCCTCTAGCTGAAGGCTGTGAGAATGTCTGAAGGATTTCTCATGTGTGAGAGGAATCCAGAGTTGAACCTCAGAGCCCAGACTCGATTTTCAGCTGGAGCTCTATGCGCCCTGGGATTTTAGAATGAGGATCTGTGAAGTGTTAATTGAGCCCAGTCCTGGACTTAATTTTGGGAGTGGGGGGTGTTCAGAGGCAAAGACAGACTAGACAGCAGGGACCTCCTCAGGACAGCCACCTCCCAGGACTCCATCGCTGCGTACTGAAAAAGTAGGGCCCCAGACCGTGCCCCTGGGGTCTAGGGTCTGGCTGCCTGGCCCTTTCCTTACTCTGGTCTTCCTCTCATCTTCTCCAGGCAGGCATCTGTGTCCTGGAGTATGCCACTCCGTTGCAGACCCTGTTTGCCATGTCACAGGATGGCCGAGCTGGCTTTAGCCGGGAGGATCGGCTTGAGCAGGCCAAACTCTTCTGCCGGACACTTGAGGACATCCTGGCAGATGCCCCAGAATATCAGAACAACTGCCGCCTCATTGTCTACCAGGGTGAGGGGCTGGTAGGCTGGAGGGTGGGAGGAGTCAGGGGTCCCAGGGTTCCCCACGGGGTCAGAAGGAGCTATGGCAGTGCTTTGACCCAGGCCTTACCTGAGGTCAGGGCATTCAAGCTCTGCCTGTTTCTCCCCTGGGAGAGGCCCCCACCTCCCTGCCCCAGCATATTTGATTGCTTTCTGAGGTCTTTGGCCATAGACCCTGGGTAGAGCTTGAACAGTTAGGCTCTAGGGTGCCCCTCACTTTATCTAAGGATGCCAGAGGAAGCAGAAAAGCCCTAGGACAGGGTGTACAGAGCACAGGTATAGGAGTCAGGAGACAGGCTGCAGCCTCAACTCTGCCATTCTCTTGCTATGTGACCTTGGGCAGGTCTCTGCCCCTCTCCGGGCATCATCTCTAGAAGTGAGAGGGTAGGATTCCATACCTCTAAAACCACTTATAACTCTAGGATTCCATGAAATTCTAGTCCCAATAGCGGGGTGGGAGGAGTGTCTTCTGAGCAAGTCCTCTGGATATATTCTAGTGGGAATGTGTGAGGTCCTCACCTTACTCTCCCCACACGCCCCTTCCAGAGTCTGCAGAGGGAAGCAGCTTCTCGCTGTCCCAGGAAATTCTCCGGCACCTGCGGCAGGAGGAAAGGGAGGAGGTTACTGTGGGCAGTGTGGGGACCTCGGTGGTGCCCAGTCCCTCCTCGCCTAGTACCTCCTCACTGTCCCAAGAGCCCAAGCTCCTCATTAGTGGCATGGAACAACCTCTGCCCCTCCGCACAGATGTCTTCTGAGACCCAGAGTCACCTTGTCTAAGCCTCAAGTGATCCCCAAGATTCTGAACTGGGACTTTCTTCAGCAGCTGAAGGTCCAGCAGAGCCATTTCCTTCTACAGGGGGCCATGCAGAGAAGAGCTCTGGACTTGACATCCAAAGATGAGTCCTACGACCTTGGGCAAGTCTTTTCATCTCTCTGAGCCTCAGTGTCTTCATCTATGAAATGGGATTATAATTATTTCCCTTCCTACCTCACAAGGTTGTTGTGAGGACTATCAGTGTATAAGTTTTTTGTAAACTCTAAATACTAGGTAAACTTAAGAGATGTGGCAGGTGTCTTCTATTTGACCCTCCAGACCTACTCTTCACCTTTCTCCACATCCTCTGGCTCAGGATGCTGACCTGTCTGGACAGCATCAATGGGCTCCCTTGCCCTCTGGCTCCTGGTCATGTTCAGTCAGTAGGGAGTCCCAGCAGGAGATGGGTAGAAGGAGAAGGGTGAGGTTGGGAGATTTATTCAGGCTCCTCCCTGCAGTATCAAGGTCCCTGTTGGCTTTCTGCGTTCTGGACCTAAAGTCATAACTCCTGTTGGGCAACCATCTCTGTAAAATCCTGTCTACATCCAGGTTCCAGTAACCGGTTCCTCTCCTCGCCCTTTCAGGCCCAGGGGTGGTATTTATCTCCACTGATGTTCATCCTGGAATACTCATCTCACCTTGTCCTCATCCCTTCTCTTTCTAAATAATCTTTTTTTTAAACATTCCTCAGATCACCCAATAACCAAATACACTTGCATATACATGCTTCCTTGTACACCTCCTCATCCTAGTACAGGGCAGTGGAGTGGTGAGTGTCATTCAGTGTGGACAGAGCCCACCAGCTGCACTGAGGGCATAGAGCTGGGCAACATCCCCAACTCCACTTGCTCTTTCAGTGCCTTGTCTCCATTGGGATGCTTCAGGGACAGGAACGGTTCAAGGGCTGGGCCAGAGCCAGCACAGCAGATACCATGAGAGATACACAGCTTGTCCTGGGCAAGAGGCTGCTCAAAGGAGCAGGGGTCACTTAAGAAATGTCCCCAGATAAGAGAGTCAGCGAAGGGATAAGGGGGGAAGGGAACTTGTTTGAGAGATGGCACATATCCCAGGGGACCCTGGACAACACAGCCAGCCACCATACCATACCTGTGTCATCCTTGTTAGAACTGAGCCACTGCAACAACACTGTTGTGGGAAGGAGCACCCATCTGAGAGGGAAGGGAGCCCTTTCTACTAGTTCCACTGTTCCACCCAGGCTGGACTTTTTCCCTCCCTCCCACCTTTGTTTTTTATCACAAATGCTCAGTATGCATTTCTAAGTACAGCACCATTGTGCAGAAATGTTCCACACACAGATGCACATTTCCCAGAAGGACAGAGCCAAGGGAATAAACAAGGAAAAGTCCCCTCTTCTCCCCAACTGTCCCAGCCATCCTGCCCCCAAGGACCAAGGATCCTCCATCATCACACCTAGAAAACTCCCACGCCTAGAACCAAGCCCCAAATCAAGGGCCTCCCCAACGTGACCTTCCCCCACCCATCAGCATGGTGTTCAGGTTCCAATTCTGACTCTGCCACTTAGTATCTCTGTCCCCCTGGGTATCTTGATAAGCCTCAGTTTCCCTGACTATAAAATGGGGATAACAATGGCCCCTTCTCCCAAGGTTGTTGTGAGGAGCAATTGGGATATGTGTGTAGGTGCACAGATAAACCTGGTGCCCAGCGCATAGCTGGCCTACAAGGAGCAGCAGCTATTAACATTATAGCTGCCTCTCACCAGCCCCCAAGGAGGCAAGCCTGTCCTCTGCAGATAGTACAGTCCGCATCTCTGTTTCTTTCCATCTTCTGTTATTTCCCAGGCTCCCTGAAAGTGCCAGGGTCTCACCAAGGGCAGGACCCAGGGTTCACTTCTTGCCTTCAGGTATCCCCCAAGGTAAAGCACCCAAAATCCCTCCATAAATGTCTGTCTGCATGTTCCTGAATGTATGTGAATGGGATTCAGGGGTGCCAGGCAAAGGGGCGCCTTGCCAGAGAACCACCGGGAGGCTAAGCTTTGCCTTCCTGGCCTATTGCCTCTTCACCTCCTGGCTATATATCCCCATGGCCCTCCCCTTCCTGGTCCCCTCCTCACTCCTTCTTTCCCCAAACAAGCTCATGGAGCTCCTTTTCCTTTTTTGTTTTCCCAACAGCTGGAAGGTTCTGAGTCTTGGAAATGTCCTGCAATAAATTCTAGGCTGGTTCCAACAGGCTCACGCACACAGAAAGTGAGGGGTAATGAGAGTCTTCAAACTCCCTCTATCCCACCTTGGGAAAGCAAGACAGTCAGTGGTGGGGCCATTCAAAGCCAATCTTGGGAGCTATAAGTGGTGCTTGGGGCTTGCAAGGGCCTTGGAGGTTGTCTACAACCTAGGCCTGGGGCCCTGACAGACAAAGAGGTGCCCCCAGTTAGTAAGGAATATAGATTTTCCTTCCTTCCCTGAGTCCCAGAGAGTCTCAGAGAAGGCAGGACTCCTGGTTTCTTTACCTTGGTGCTCCCTGGCTGGGCCTCACAGGATCTGGTGGCTGGGAGGAAGGGCCTCTATGGGAGGCCTGTGACATCCATGTATGGGGTGTGGTGGGTGGTGGAATCTTCCAGGTTGGACTCACTTTGACACTAAATGGGAGGAGAGTATGTGCAAGGAGGAAGCAGGGACTCTGAGAAGGAGATTCAGGGTCTGGTGATCCCTGAAGAGGAGCTTTATGAGGGTGACTTTGGGCACTGGGGATGCTCACAGCAGCATGTCTCTGGGCAGTCTCTTCAAGCTTCTTTTATTTCTCCGGTCCACAAAAGAGCATTCTCCCCAAATATTCTGCTGAGAGGGCAGCGCCAGCTGAGTCCACGTGTGCCCCTCTGAAACCCTGATACCCAAGCCCCAGTTTGCCTCTGTCCTAATTCTCTGTCCATTTTCTTGTTCTGAATCAGGTCAGGCCAACTTTCCAACGTCTCCCTCCTACAGATATGTGATTTCATCGATGCTGGGCCTGGGCCCATCTGGAGCAGGGTAGTGGTCAGGGGCAGGAGTTCCCTGCTGGGCTTCTTTGTGACTGTTCTGGGGGCTCAGCATCCGCCAGTGGATGAGGTAGATGCCACCCTCTGGCTTTGGGGCTGATGGTTCTTTGAGGAGAGTGGCATGGCCCTGGTGCAGCCTTGGTCCAAAATGGACTGCCACTACAATACAGACTGCCAGCAAGACAAAGATGGTGACGATGATGGTGAGCTGGGGGAGCCCATCCCCTTGAGGGGTTCCCCAGGCTCCACCCAGCACCTCTGGAAGCTGCTTCTGGGGCTCCTGCCCCAATGAGCTGTTCACAGCTGGAGAAGGCCAGAGGTAGTGGCAAACCTGGGAGGGGAGTGACAGAGAGAGAGGGTGACATGGGCAAGTACACACAGAAAAAGACCAAAATAGAGACAGAAACTTAAAGGGAACTGAGAGAGACTCAGGAAGAGACAGAGAGGAAGAGAGACAAAGATAGACAAAGAGCCAGAGTAAAGACATGGAGAGAGAGACAAAACAAAGACAAAAAAAAACAGAGTAGACACACAGCAAGAGAAAGGATCAAAGTCAGACAGAAAGGGATACAGAGGGAGAGAAAGATACAAAGAGAAAAAAGAAAAAGAGAGTTAAAGAGAGACATAAAAAAAGATGGACAGATGGATGGATAGATAGAGACAGAGACAGAAAAAAAAAACAGTCAGGGAGACAACAGTGTACAAAAAGGACAAAGAGAGAGGCTTCATTACAGCCTGATGTATAGGGTTGGGTCTCCCAATTCCCCTCCTATGGCCCCTTATTCCCAGGTTCCCAGCAAAGTTCCTAAACAGATCTTGTGTCAGCAATCTTAGCACGCTATGGGCTGCTGTCCCATGGCCTGGGCAGTGGGCAGTGAGCAGCTGCTTTATAAAGCGCAGAAAAAAGGAGTCATTGTGCAGTCTCCTAGGCTCCCCATACTCCTCACTCACATGGAAGGAGTGGAGTGCTACCCTGGGAGAAGGGGGAGAAGAAGAAGAGGACATGAACCCCAGAAGCTTGGGGTGAAACAAGGGGGATGCCTTATCTCATCATCTCCCCCCTCACCCCAGGTCTCAGGATCAGGTTCAGGGAGCTTGGAGGGGAGGGGATGCCCAGTATGGATTCCTGGCTCTGCCCAAGACTTATTGAGGAGATCCTGTGCCACCTGAGGTTCATGATTCCTACCCAAAGCTGGGGTTCATGATCTCTATCTCTGTCCCCACCCTGCTGGGTTTTGGGTTGGGGTAGAGGGTTGCAGTGAAGGTTGGGGTGGGGATGGGGTTGCAGTGAAGGTGGGCAGTGGAGGAGAATGCAGTGAAGGTGGCAAAACCTCCAAACTGTAAACTCCAGAGCAGGTGAGACCACCACAGGCTCAAGAAACTTTCTCTCCCTAGCCTCCCCCTCCCCCACTGCACCATCCAGGAGTACACTCTATGGGGTGGACCCTCCAACACTGAGCTCTCAGCCTGGCCCTCCCTATGAGTAGGCAGCGGGAGTCCAGGAGAGGCTGTCCAGGACAGACCCATTCCTTTAGTCCCTCAGTTACACCATCTACCCCATCCCACCCCCAACACGTGTCCCATGACACTTGGAAAGCCCAAACACCCCCCACTCCCACCCCTCCCCCCACGACTCTGAGACTCTTAGGGGCCCTGCCCAGAGCTCTCAAGCCAGGGTGTGGGGAAGCAGTTCCGCATGTACAGGGGAAAAAGGGAAGCCCAGGCTGGTGAAAGGCTTGGGGCCCCTTCAGGGAGTTCGGCCAGCCTGCAGGAAGGGGTGAGGGGAGAGTCTACCTGGTGCATTGTCCAGCCAGCAGAGGACTCCCTTAGGACAGGTAGCAGCCGCCAAAAGAGAGCTGGTTGCCTGGCTCAGCCCTGAGGTGGAGCTGCCACGTCTGCGGGTCACACACCCTCTGCATATACCCAGACTGCTCTCTCCCACGCTTTCACTTCCGGAACTTCTGGGCTACCCTGGGCCCAGCCCCCTCACTCTGATAGTACCTTGCTCTTACTCCTTGGTACCTCCATTCATGCACTCTGCTGGCTTCAGGAGCCTGGGTGGCCTGCCCATCCCTCCTCCACAGATCCCAGATACCTGGGTGGTCTCCCCACCTTCATCCTGCCCCATCCCTTCCCCCTAGGACAAGCCGACCCCACCCCAACCAATTTCCTGAAGTCATTGACCTTTGGCCCCTTTTTAAAAAAAATTAAATATCTCAAACACACTGGAAAGTATATAATATAATAAGTCTCTGCTGCCCAGCCATCATCTCTGTTCATCTCTTACCATTTTGCTATTTTTATTTTAAAAAATTTTAAGAACTAAAGTGTTACAAATAAAATCAAAGCTCGCACTCCGTGATCACTCTCCTCCTTCTTATCCCAGGGATGCAAAGCATTCTTTTCCCTTGTTGTAGGGGAAAAACAACCTAAAGTTGAATAAAGCAAAAAGAAAGTTTTATTCGGCATATATTCAAAAAGGCAAAAGTGGGAAACAGACAACCATGCTGCCAGAGCCATGTCTGCCCGAGTCCAAGGAAATATCACAGAATAGACAAAAGTGGGAAAACGGACAGGCATGTTGGTAGAGCCATGTCTGCCCAAGTCCAAAGAATATCACAGAATAGGCAAGAATGGGAAAACGGACAAGCATGCTGCCACAGCCATGTCTGCCCGAGTCCAAAGAACAGTTACAGAGCCATCAGTATATATTAACATTACAAATGAGCAAAACCATTGAAAGCTTAGCCTTTCCAGATTGGCTAGCAACTGTGATCCTACATTTTGAATTGTCTTTCTTAACAGTCATCGGTACAGGTCTCAGTAACGACAGTCTGGAGGGTCTTCATTGGTCCAACAAATTTCTGTTCACTAACTGCTAATAGAAAAAGATAAGAGTGGAAAGTCTTTTGTGTTGTGTTTGATAGGCTTTATGTGAAAGTTTCCCTAAAAGATATTTTCCAAGATTATCTTAGCTATTGTCTTTATACCTCAGGGCCCAGTCGATGTGTACTTGTGAGTCCTTGTGAGCCCAGCTCCAGCTGGGTCACATTCTCTATGCTCAAGGAGAGGGAATAAATGATTCTAATATTAATTTCCTAAATCACCCTTTAGATTTCTTTCACCTTTGGTTTTCTACAAATATGAATTATTTATGTGTCCCTGGGTGGTGCAAACGGTTAACACGCTCAGCTCCTAACCAAAAAGTTGGAGGTTTGAGTCCACCCAGAGGTGCCTCAGAAGAAAGTCCTGGTGATCTACTTCTGAAAAATCAGCCAGTGAAAACCCTATGGAGCACAGTTCTACTCTGACAAACATGAGTCAATTGACTCCACAGCAATTGGAAAGAAAAATGTCTCTTTGTATCACCGGTCTCTCCTCTCTCTGGAGATAGTTTTTAAAACATAATTTTTGGCCCCAGCTGACTCCATCCGTTCATTCTGTCCCTTGCTCCACAGGTATCACTCCCATTTCAGCTGGGCCAGAAGACCCTCTGGGAGCTCCGCTCATCCAGTGGCTTGATCTCACGGGGCAGGATGTGTAGCCTCCTGGCTCCTTCTCTCTCAGCCAAGCTGCCGCGTACTCTGACACCCTGACAATTCAGGGACCCCCACTCAGACCTCCAAGCTCACTTGAGCAATGCTGGGCTGCTGACCTGCCCTAAGAAGTGAGTGAGACCAGTGGGGCAGTTGGGGGCTGGCCTTAAAGCCCCCAGGCTGACCCCCTCTCAATACAAAGAAAGGCTATAGTCATTCTCTGCCTCCCACCTGGGCCCACTTAGAAGTCGGTCTGAGGGAATCTGGACTCTGCCACAAGTCCAAGGCTTCTGCCACTGCTGTTTGCCTCCTGCCTTCTCAACACACATGGCCCATTGCTCTAACAGACACCTCCAGTGGGGCTCCCAGACCCTTAGTCCAAAAGCCCAATTTCCGATCCTCTGATGGCTAATTATTCCTCTCTTTCCCTCTTTCACCAGTTCTGGATTTATCTCCCAAAGGGCTTCAGAAGGGGTTAAAAAACAAACAAACAAAAAAACCCGTTGCCAATGAGTCCGATTCATAGCAACCCTGTAGGACAGAGTAGAACTGCTGCATAAGTTTCCAAGGAGCAGCTGGTGGATTTGAGCTGCCGACCTTTTGGTTAGTAGCTGAGCTCTTAACCACTGTGCCACGAGGACTCCTCAGAAAGGGTGAGGGAGTGGAATTTCTGGAAACAGACTACTGTCCCAGCCTTCTCTTTCACTTTCCCATCTTCACACTCACTGTTGTAAGCTGCTCTTCCTTCATTCCCACTGTCAAAACTATAACCACCTTTTATGGCTTAGTTCAAGTGTCACCTCCTCCAGGAATGTATTCTTCAGCGCACTACACTTGAGTAGCTTTCTTCCTTTTTCTTAAACCCTGTAGCAGTATCTTCCTTACCACACTCCTAACATTTGTTATACTTTGCCTTACATTACAGGTGTGTGGGTGCTTATTTTCCCCCTATCTAGGCTGCGAACCCCATGAGGGCAGGGACTATGTCTCGCTGCCCTCTGCATCCCAGAGTCTATCACCATGCCTGCTACTACACAGCAGGTGCCCTACATCCCGTCCTTATTCCTAGAGACACACAGAGAGCACCTGTACCTAGGGGGAGGGCACTTCTGAGCCAGGATGAAGTGTTACTGACTCACTTCCGCTCTCTCTTTTTGGCTTTTTGTCTCATGGAGCCTCTTAGGGTGGATTCAGGGGACTGAAATGATCGGAGAAAAAAAACCTGCTCTTAGTTCACAAAGAGGACAAGCCCTGGGTTTTGAGACTAGAGTGCTAGAACCAAGGATGAAAAGACCCTGAGTCTTCCCACTGCCACCCTTTAGGGCTGGAGGCCCAGTCCTCAGTTCTGTACACCAGGGTCACTTTTCTTTTGCAACTCTCCAGGGGAGGGTGGAAGGGGCTCTGTTGGCCTAAGAAAGGCAAAGAGGGGCCCTTCTTCCCTCACATTGCCCCAACTGAAAGAGATTAGGGTTAGGGGTCTAAGAAGGGAGCTGAAGGAGAGGGACCTGTTGGGTCATCCTGAGCAGACCCCAGGAGGGTTGCCATGGTAGATGTCAGGGAAGTCTGAAAGCCAGGTGATTTTCTGGGTCCATCTTAAGCCTGCTGGGGATATGTCAGGAGCAAGGGCTGCCCACCTCAACCTCACCCCACTTCTAGCCTTCTTGTGAAAAACAATAGGTCTATAAGAGGTATGGGGTTTCTTTTTGGGGTTAATGAAAAATGTTCTAAAATTGATTGTGGCGATGCTTGCACAACTCTGTGGTTATACTAAAAGCCATTGAATTATACACTTTAAATGGGTAAATTGTATGGTATGTAAATTATATCTCAGTAAAGCTGATTAAAAAAAAAAAACCACAATGAAATACACACCTATTAGAACGGCTAAACCAAAAACAACAACAAAAAAGCTATAGGCTTGTAGCTGTACGTGGTAGTATCAGTCATAAAAGGAAAAACTGGAAGTAGCTTAAATGTTCAAAACAAGGTGTGGTGAAATGAGTTCCTTTATGTAGTAGTCTTTTGCCTTGGTTCTTTGGAAAAACAGTTTGAGAAATTTTCCCCCAAACCATAAGCAGTTACCTTTGCCCTAGTTTTCTACCCCAGACGGTTTGTTACTTTTGTCCAAGTTGATTGACATTTCCTGGATAAACTGTAAACAACTTATGGTTTGATACAGTTTGTCTGGTCCTGGGTCCTGTGATTGGTATGCACTTGGTCAGTAGACCACGCAAATGAAATGTCTGTAGCCTACTATGCAAATGAAGTATCAGTGGCCTACCAAGAGGTGATTGGTCAGCTCATGGCCCTGGTTGGAGAACCATGCCTTGAAATTGATGAAGAGTTTGTGTATATATGCAGCCAACCCCACAGAGGTTTTTCAGACAGAAAGAAGCAGGAAGAGAAGCGGCAGAAAGAAGCGGAGAGATAGGAGGTAAGGAACCTCCTAAAAGAGCTGAAACAGGGGTTGAGGGTTGTAACACTGAAAACAGCGACAGGCCCAGAAGGGGCCCAGGGGCAGCATCAGTGGTGACAGACAGCAGGGCCAAGAAAAGCTGTCCTCATTAACAGGATACAAACCATAACCATAACCAACAACAGACAAACTTCAGAAGATAAGCTAGATAACTGGGATCTTCTAAAAATTAAACACTTACGTTCATCAAAAAAGTTCACCAAACGAGTAAAAAGAGAGCCTACAGACTGGGAAAAAATTTTTGGACATTACAAGTCAGACAAAGGTCTAATCTCTAAAATCTGCGAGAAAATCCAACACCTCTACAACGAAAAGACAAGTAATCCAATTAAAAAATGGGCAAAGGAAATGAACAGACCCTTCACCAAAGAAGACATTCAAGCAGCCAACAGACACATGAGGAAACGCTAGCCATTAGAGAAATGCAAATCAAAACCACAGTAAGATACCATCTCATCCCGGCATTACTGGCACAAATCAAAAA